ACAAAGATTTCTACTTACGTAACTTTCGTTTTTGACTGGTAACCGATCTATAAATACGCGGACATTATCAAGTGCAAAATAACATTCCTTATCGCTTGTTATAAATTCATTTCTTCAACGAATACTCATAAAAATATTGTTTTTAGAACATAAATTAATAATATGAAAAATTTTTGTCGTTAGAAATATATATATAAGTAAAAAATCATTAATATCTATGCACACGTACAGAAAAATTGTGTTAACGCATGCGGAAGAATATCTCAAGAACGTTTTGCAGGTAAATATGAATGCCTGCTCAAATCCAATCTATTAGAAAAATCGAATTATTACAGAAGCATGTCCACCATGCACTTGTACTGCACTATTATTAGAATAGTAGAATAGAATGATATACAAATGGATGAAAATTATATATACATGTAACTGTTATATACAAATATTAATATAATATTACTACAATATTACAGTTATTACGGTGAGGTTGAATTCCCTGTCATTTATTCATCATCCACGCACGAACTAGTCTTAGAAAAAAAAATATATCTCTGTTCATTAACCTCACTTTCAGGTATAGAGATGTGATTTACTTTCTGAGACAAGTGCTTGTGACCATCCAAAAGACTGGCTTGCGGTCATTCGATGTTCAGCACTTCAGTGCTTTGATTATTTGTGTGAACTTGTTCTTGACCTAATAATCATAAACTTATGTATTTACTCCAGGTTCAAGCGTCCAGTAAGTTTATCACGATCAAATTATGTAATTATATAAAAACTGCATGGAATTTCAGATCTCATATAGATTTATACCTTTACATTTGAAATAGTATTTTACTGTTGTTCTCTTCTGTCTATAAAATTGATAATGGAAATGGGGAATGTGTCAAAGAGACAACAACCCGACCATAGAGCAGACAACAGCCGAAGGCCACCAATGGGTCTTCAATGCAGCGAGAAACACCCGCACCCGGAGGCGTCCTTCAGCTGGCCCCTAAACAAATATGTATACTAGTTCCAGGGGCGGATCCAGGATTTTGGAAAGGGGGGGCCGAGCGGAGCGATGCGAGAATTTTTTTGGACCTTTCTTTGGCTAAAAAACATAAAATAAGTGTAAAATGCACTTTTTTAACGGTTCCTGACGTGGGGCATGTATATTTTATAGTAAAAGTGTAAGGGTTGGACATTTTTGATGCCGTATTCTCCCCATTAGTTGTCTATTATAAAATGATTGGATGGATCCAAAGCTATGTACTAATATATTTGATGTGGGAATTGTCAGTAAAAAAATGACATGGAAAATTCTCGTTTGTTGTATGTTTAGTTAGCATAACCTCACGGATTTCTTGTTGTAAACAAGATATACGCCGGGCTATTCAATGAAATTTACAATTCGACCGACACGAGTTAAGAAAGACAAACAAGCAATTTTTATCCAAATGTTTGGTTGAAATGTTTCACCCAACAAGGGAAGTGAGGGGTTCCAAATCAACCAAAGGCTACGAATGAGTCTGAAATGACAACGAATTTATGAATTACGGTCGACAAATGGAGACATAAAGGCCACACCCCGCAGGCAGGTTGCAGTCGGGCCTTGAAAAAAGTATTCATTTTATCAGTTCGACGAAACAGACATTCCGGTCAGATATGGGATTTACATGCAAACCCCCGGCCCCAAATAAATTACGCCCGTTTTTTTATTCATCATGTTCATTTAATGCTAAATAATTCTGTTGGGAATTTTTGTTTCTAATAACAAAATAGTGGACAAGATCATTGTTTTCAATCCAGATACGGCCAGAATTTTTGTTTAAGGCAAAAATCAGGGTCAGAATTTTTTCTCTCAAATATCTCAGACTGCCCCCTCAAATCAAATGGTCCGTACCTTAGACTTTAAATCTATCTGGAGCTTATTGACTGGGGATCATTATTCAGCTATGTTATTAATAGGCTGGGGCGTGTGGGGTTAAACATGTTTTCGTAGGTAAATAATATCGCTGTGGAACTTTTTTTTCATGAGAGTGTAATAGAGTATTACTTTCTGTTTGGTGGAGTTGTGAAATAGAAGTCAATAAATACGTTCTTGCTCAATCCTTTGTCGCTTTGAAGATGTCATGCTTGTCATCCTCAGCCTAAGCAATGTGTTACTGTAATTTGAATTTCAAAATGACTGAGTGACGTTTTTTCGACGCACTGGTCAACTCCACCGTATCGAATCACATGATTTTGACATAATCAATAATATATTACAGTAAATACGAGCGAAACATATCTTTATAAGTAAAGAATTGTCGCATAAAAATTAAATACGCGGGAAATGGCAAAGTTCACGAAGTCTAGTCTGATTAATCATTTTACAAAAAAAAAAAAAAAATGCAAGCAAAGGGGGGCGTACGCCCTCTACGCCCCCCTCTGGATCCGCCACTGAGTTCAGTGATAATGGACGTCATACTAAACTCCAAATTATACACAGGAAACTAAAATTAAAAATGATACAAGACTAACAAAGGCCAGAGGTTCCTGACTTGGGACAGGCGCAAAAATGCGGCGGGGTTAAACATGTTTTTTGAGATCTCAACCCTCCCCCTATACCTCTAGCCAATGTAGAAAAAACAAACGCACAACAGTACGTACAGTAAAACTCAGTATAAGAGAAGTCCGAGTCCGATGTCGGAATAGGAAACAAAAGAAAATAAATGACAATAATACATAAATAACAACAGACTACTAGCAGTTACTGACATGCCAGCTCCAGACCTCAATTAAACTGATTAAAAGATTATGTCTTCATCATATGAATATCAGGGATAATCCCTCCTGTTAGGGGTTTAGTATTATACCGTCATAAAATATATGAGAACATAACCCGTGTCATGCCAACAACTGGTTTTAGAATAAATGTGTTTAATTCCGATGCAAAGACCCTATAAGTGAATTAATATTAAAGCCAAAATATGCAATCTTTAATGACCTGACAACAGTATCGTAACTATATCCCTTCTTAATAAGTCTGTTTAAAGGTTTTGTTAGCTTTTGAGGTGAATACTGACATTCCATGTTTTATATTATGTAATAAATGTTGTTAATATTGACATAATTTGTTTATGCTTTTGCAAAAAAGAATCATTCAAAACAGGCGCCTTGTGTGAAACATTGGATTAATTTTGCATATCGGGTCCTTCATGGCTATCTCATTTACTTATATCAGTTTAGTTTACTTACCAATTACTACAGAAAAAATAAACCATATTTGAATCATACACTTCTGTAGGCCTACCATTATATAAAGCATGGTCTGTTACTAGTGTAATTTCAAGTAAGCACCAAATAACATTTCGATAATAACGCCAATGTATAGATAACTATGAACTTTCAACCTAGCAGGAACACAAAGTTCAAAATTGTAAAAGGTAATTGTTCCCATACATTTATGTACAATATTTGATTATAAATGAATGTATGTATTACTATCGTTCATAAATTCTTGAAAGTAACATAGATTTGGCTATTCTGTTTATGTCATGTTTGGTCATTATGGTCCTGACGTATTCAAGTACTTCTACATGTACATCCGGGGCTTTCAAATTATTGGGCTTAAGCGTTTCTAATGAATGTAAATCCAAACAAGCGCTTCGGAAGCACCATATAAAAAGTGTTATATTCATTTTCTAATTTTAGACATTTTTTAAAATTTTGAATGGTAATACGCTTCATAAAATGTCTGAACTTGACATGTTCAATAAAAAATGAAATATCGAACAAGTCATTTTGTAAAATGCCTTATTTTTTTTAAAAAACAAAATAAAATTAGTGAAATACATGGTTAAAATAAAACACATTTTCCCATGAAGCAATCGAACATGTTTAGTAAAATAAAGATTATTCTTCAAAACATCATCTCTAGGTAATGTTTTGAGGTGGTTAATAGTTTTAATGTCTATAATAAGTACTTCAAAGTGAAAATACTTTGGGTATGTTCTTTGCCTGTATTTCAAAGGGTCAGATGTATCAATTGTGCAAGAAAATGGCATTCATTCCTGCCAAATTATAAAAGGAATCTTTATCTTTAATAACTCGATAGATTTTGGGTATGGTAATACCCTCAGGGAGAAAACCTCCACCATCAGTGACATTGACCCAGAGGTTGTAAATAAACTCATCATAGATACCAGGATTAAAATTGTGTACGCCAGACGCACGTTTCGTCTACATAAGACTACGGAAGCCGGTTAGTGTCATGGTGGAGTTTTATTTTCAAATCGTTATAACGACTTAGCTTACCTCATTCGTTAAAACAACTTAGCTAACTCGTTTAAACGACTAAGCTAACACGTTATAACGACTTTGCTAATCGAACTCGTTATAACAACTTAGCTCACTTGTTATAACGACTTATCTAACTCGTTTAAACAACTTAGCTTACTCGTTTAAACAACTTAATTAACTCGTTAAAACGACTTAGCTAACTCGTTATAACAACTTAGCTAGTTGTTATAACGAGTTAGATAAGCTAAGTCGTTTAAACGAGTTAGCTAAGTCGTTTTAACAAGTTAGCTAAGTGGTTATAAAGAGTTTGATTAGCTAAGTCGTTATAACCAGTTAGCTAATTTGTTTAAACGAGTTAGCTAAGCCATTTTAACGAGTTAGATAAGTCGTTTAAACGAGTTAGCTAAGTTGTTTAAACGAGTTAACTAAGTCATTAAAACAAGTTAGCTAAGTTGTTATAACGAGTAAGATAAGCTAAGTCGTTATAACGACTTAAAAATAAAACTGCACCATGACACTAACCGGCTTCCGTATAAGACTTATAAGTGACGCTGTAATAAAAAAAGTTAAAAGGTCAAATAAGTACGAAGTTAAAGAGCATTGAGGACCCAAAATTCCGAAAAAAATATTTATGTGAAGAATGATATCAGCATTCATGTTACCATTATTTGTTGAAATATATATATAATAAAAATCATGCTAAAAATCATGCTACTAAAATAAGCAATGATAATAAAAAGTGTGTGTAATCCTTTATTTTTATGAAATGTTTGTACAATGACGTATGACAGAATCGCCCCTTTCCATTAATAATGGTATGTGTACAAATCGTTTAAAACCAGTATTCTACATTACTGTAAACGATTTGCGCGTCCAAATAAATTCAACAAAAATAGTTCTATCTAAAAAACGATAATATCTAGCCATGATAGTGATAGTTATATTATTTTATGATAAAAAATGCAAACTAAATTATACGGCAAATATAGATAATTGCATCGTTTTTTTTAACTAGGTATCTAATCTAAAAAACAAAAACCTTATAAAACAATATATAGCCGGTTCGTCAAGATGTTCGACTAAACACGTTTCTAACGTTCTTAACCCCATTCTTCCTACAGTAAAATTGTCCCTCAGAAATATGGTGATGATGTGTGTCCAACTTACGGTGTCAATCAGATGTGGATTCTTCAAATTTCTAAGAATCTTCTCCGAAATCTTCGAACACAATCTTTACGATTTTGCTGTAATTTCAAAACGTATTATTTTTCTACGCTTTACTCTACTATATTCCATTCTCAATTAAAAGGCATCCATCTTGTTAAACAGAGCTTTTCTATAAAAATGGGAAGCGCAAATTCAAAATACATTTTTAGGTCATGAAAAAGATCAAACTTTGTGAAGAAACAACACGTATCAAAAACAATCACACCAAGGATGATAGCATCAAAATGCTGGACTTTTCCTTCGAAAACACACCAGATTAGTTGATTGATATTTCAGATACTGATCATATTGTTGTATTAATTTGACAGATATTTCCTTCCCCAATATTTGTCCTTATAATTTAATAAATTAGATTAAATACCGACATTGCAGGTGTCATCCCCATGAAATGTTCTCCTCAGTCCGATACCATTTTTTGACCCGATTCGATCACAATACTTGACCACCGTTACTTATTCTTTCACGATTATGCTTCTCGATATACTGAGTGACAGCCGTGGTCTGGGAAGTTTTCCCGATATACTGAATGACAGCCGTGGTCTGGGAAGTCTTCTCGATATACCGAATGAGAGCCGTGGTCTATGAAGTCATCTCGATACACCGAATGACAGCCTTGGTCTTGGAAGTCTTCTCGATATACCGAATGACAGCCGTGGTCTGGGAGGTCTTCTCGGTGTACTGAATGACAGCCGTGGTCTGGGAAGTTTTCTCGATATACTTAATGGCAGCCGTGGTCTTGGAAGTCTTCTCGATATACTGAATCACAGCCGTGGTCTTGGGGGTCTTCCCGATATACTGAATGACAGCCGTTGTCTGGGACGTCTTCTCGATATACTGAATGACAGCCGTGGTCTTGGAGATCTTCCCGATATACTGAAAGACAGTCGTGGTCTGGGAGGTCTTTTCGATATACTAAATGACAGCCGTGGTTTGGGAGGTCTTCTCGATATCCTGAATGACAGCCGCGGTCTGGGAAGTCTTCTCGATATACCGAATGAGAACCGTGGTCTGAGAAGTCATCTCGATACACCGAATGACAGCCTTGGTCTTGGAAGTCTTCTCGATATACCGAATGACAGCCGTGGTCTGGGAGGTCTTCTCGGTGTACTGAATGACAGCCGTGGTCTGGGAAGTTTTCTCGATATACTTAATGGCAGCCGTGGTCTGGGAAGTCTTCTCGATATACTGAATCACAGCCGTGGTCTTGGGGGTCTTCCCGATATACTGAATGACAGCCGTTGTCTGGGACGTCTTCTTGATATACTGAATGACAGCCGTGGTCTGGGAGATCTTCCCGATATACTGAAAGACAGTCGTGGTCTGGAAGGTCTTCTCGATATACTAAATGACAGCCGTGGTTTGGGAGGTCTTCTCGATATCCTGAATGACAGCCGTGGTATGGGAGGTCTTCTCGATATACTGAATGACAGCCGTGGTCTTGGAAGTCTTCCCGATACACTGAATGACAGCCGTGGTCTGGGAAGTTTTCTGGATATACTGAAGGACAGCCGTGGTCGAATAAGTGATATATTGAGAATAAAATTATGCTTCATATTATAAGAAGTATTTTTCTCTCAAAAATATTCACACCTATCTTTCTTTCTTTGATTTATTGGTTTGTTTGAATTCAAGCTCACGTGTAATATAATACCAGCATTCATGTGACTTTAATGTGTTAACATATTTAAAAAAAAACATGCTACTAAAATAAACAATGCAAATGAAAACTGTATGTGCGATCGTTAATGTTTTTTGCAATGACGTATGACAGAATTGCCCCTTTCCAGAAGTTCACAAATAATTTAAAACCAGTATTTTACATTACACAATAAGTATAATTGTAAACGATTAGTACGTTCAAATTAATTTAACAACATACATACAGGCTTTATGTCCATGTAAATTATTGCCTATACATCAAATGGAAGACACACTTTTATTATAGATTTTCTATAGGTTTCCCCGAGTTTGATTTAAAAAGAATATTTACATAGGCAACATCAGCTTGTATATTAAATGATTTCGGTTTAAGATTAAGTGGGTGCATGGCTGTCACAAATTTAAGTAATCCAATATCATGTAATGATTTGTAAATTTTTAACAGCTTTGGATAATCTTCTTTAGAAGGCCATGTGGGAAACAAATGGTATTCCAACATAAATTGTTTAATGTTCTGGAAGAGGTTTTCCTGCAGCAAGTATTTGATGATATTCCATTCATATCCTTCGACGTCAATTTTTAAAACATCAATTGTTCTCTGTAAAGTAAATGTGTTAGGCCTATAGTATAAATATCAAAAAGTAAATATGTAATACATGTCAATGAGAAAGCAACTAAACAACTTAAAGATTTCAATGAAGTTATATTATTCTCCGTCAAAATTTTCCTTAAAACAAATAAAGAAATTAAGCAGTTTCATTTCACGGCCAAAGCGAATTCATTCATTTAGGGTTATTTACACTTTGTTATATAAATTGGGTACACATCTATCGTCGAAGACTGTAAAGTGACCTCTACGAATGTTTAAGCAGTGTTTCATAGATATTATTTTTTTTCTTTTTTTTTTGTATTTTTACTAAAATGATTATGATTAGTTGGTGTCTTGTTAACGTTTGCTCAAACATTTGCTTATAGAATGTAGATACGTTTTTTTTTTGCATTAATCAGACCGGTAGTTTTCTCGATTGAATTGTATTACATCTTTTCATGTCGGTTTGTTTTTTGAAAGCTTGCTATGCGGTATGGGTTTTGCTCATGTTGAAGGCAATACGGTAACCCAATAGCATTAATACCAAATTTTCTTATTTTAATAATAAAGTGTTGCAAAGATTGATTTAATGTTAATATTTCGTAAAATATGTTTATTGAATCATATTATTTGAGTTTACATATAACTTGCATATATCATTCTCATCTACTCACCCCTTTATGTCCTAGTAAATCCATTATAGTTTTTAAATTCATTACTGGCCATGTTGTATTTCGTCTGACATAATTATCCCGTCGAGGAGAAAACTGTTTTGAATTACTATGACTGAGACCAATTGGATGGAAAACCACAGACGTATTACGTACATGTTCCTTCATTTTCATACTGAAAAAAAAAACCGCATAAAGTACCTTTAAAACTTAAACTGTTATGTTCAAAATGCCCTTTCAAACTACATTTTAGCGTAAACAACAACAGTCAGCTCTCCAGCAAGAATCAATTTATCAAGCGTTTCTTACATGCTATCTAATTGACACAGAATAGACATACGCAAGGAGCATATGCGGGATAACATCAATTTTGGTTTTGCTCATCTAAGAAGAAATCACTTGACACCTGCAAGCAAACATCTGCTGTTAAGTCCGTTCAATAGCAAGGTACGTGGCATGCAGGTTTCACGAACAAAACGTTAAGGAGAGGTAACACAAAAAAAAAAACAGCCGAAAGAAACCACAGGGATATTCAAACTCATAAGTCGAAAACAAACGGAAAATGCCATGGCAATAAAACAAAAACGACCATAAGACAAACAACAGTACGCAAAACACAACATGAAATACTAAAGACTGAGCAACACGAAACCCACACAAAACCGAGGATGATCCAAGGTGCACAAAGTAAATACAATCAATGTATAATGTTATAGTTTTTTTATCATTAAAATTGACTGCTGGAAAAAAGTAGCTGCTATCTTGATTAGCTGCTAAAAGTGGCTGCCAGCTTGAGTCTGGTGAACATATATGTGGTTGAAATACCCTTAACGTTGATAAATGTTTCATCCTAAGAACTTCCTTGTCAGTGAAAGTCAGGGTCTTTATTCTAAAACGTAAATGAAAATATGAATGAATGAGTACATTTGAAATTGTTTTATTTATGACTAAATTATGTGACCATTTCAGAAAATCTTACCTCGGATCAAAAGAATGCACCTCACAGCCGAGACTAGCCATTGCATCATCGAAACGAAAATCAAAACCTATACTGAAAATACAGACATCAACACAATTAATAAATATATCATCATCTTGATACTGGATAAAGTTCTTATGAGAAATAAAGCCGGGTCGTCATTAATCCGACTAAACATCTTTCTAACGTTCTTTCCGTCGTTCTTTCTACAGTAAAATGTGATCTTCAGAAATATTGTGACGAGGTGTATTCAAACAGTGGTGTCAATCAAATCAATTGGTTGACCAATACGTTGTGTTGGTTTATCAACTCACTAGCGACATGTTTTGGCGGTCTTAGATCTTTAGATAGATACCAGTATAGTCGTCAGATCTGTAATTTTACCGATTGTGTCCTATTCCCGATTGTGACATTCTGACTGAGTGTGATGCATGTATGTCCTGTTCCTGATTGTGTCCTATTCCCGATTGTGACATTCTGACTGAGTGTGATGCATGTATGTCCTGTTCCTGATTGTGTCCTATTCCCGATAGTGACATTCTGACTGAGTGTGATGCATGTATGTCCTGTTCCTGATTGTGTCCTATTCCCGATAGTGACATTCTGACTGAGTGTGATGCATGCATGTCCTGTTCCTGACTGTGTCCTATTCCCGATTGTGACATTCGGACTGAGTGTGATGCATGCATGTCCTGTTCCTGATTGTGTCCTATTCCCGATTGTGACATTCTGACTGAGTGTGATGCATGCATTTCCTGTTCCTGATTGTGTCCTATTCCCGATTGTGACATTCTGACTGAGTGTGAATTCTTATTGCGGGTGATGCGTGCATAGCAGGAGACGCTTGCCCTGTCGACACACATGGTCTTGCTCCGTTTGGAGTTCACGCGGTCCTCTCATTTTTTGTTTGTAACCTTGAATTGTCTCTTCATCTCGATTTCAGAGATTAGAACATCGACAAACTATTGTCAAAATGCAATCCAATTAGCGCTTAATAATAAGTATTGATTTAAATTTCAATAGTACTTCAATTTAATTTTTTGTTATTGAAATAAAAAAATATCTTGGTAAAAATTGAAATTTAATGGAATTACAAAAAAATGAAAAAAAGTTATGACCATTTTGATAAACATAAAAACATAACCAATGCACGACATGGGTTCAGCAAAAAACGATCTACGAAATCACAGTTAATTATAACCATCATGACATTAAAAAGTAAAACTGGAAAAAGAATATCAAAAGTCGACATCATCCTTCTTGACTATGCAAAGGGGTTCGACAAAGTACCACACCATCGCCTATTATACACACTAGAATACTATGGAGTCAACCCTAAAACTAATAAATGGATTCGGTCTTTCCTAGAAAACAGAAAGCAGAGCGTTTCACTAGAAGGAGATATCTCTTCGCAAGTCCTCGTACTCTGGTGTACCACAAGGGACAGTTCTTGGACCTCTATTGTTCCTGATCTTCATTTATGACATGTATGAAACAGCAGCATCATCGGAGGACAAATTATTTGCAGACACTAGGCTTCTTTTTCGAGCGATCAACAATCAGACAGACAGTGACCTTTTGCAAAGTGACCTAACATTATTGGATGATTTGGAGTATATTAAAATGGCAAATGAGTACAAAAAATGTCCTTTGATAGACACATTGCCAACATTGTAGGCAAAAGAAACAAGACATTGGGATTTATACATCAAAACCCGAATGATTGCACTAAACCCGTAAAATCAGCAGGATATACATCCTTTGAAAGACCCACAGTGGAATATGCTTGCACAGGATTCATCAAGCAAAGAAAATAAATTCAATAGAACAAGTGCAAAAAAGAGCAGCACAATTTGTTCAAAACAACTACACAAACCGAACACCTGGCTGTGTAACAAACAATTACAACGAGAAAGCCTGGAAGATTGAAAGAAAACCAACAGAATATGGGTTTTTCTCATTGTTGAAGGTCGTACGGTTGCCTATAATTTCTTACATCCACATCATTTGAACTTGGGTAGATAGCTGTCTCATTGGCAATCATACCACATCTCCTTATTTTTATATGTATGTTATTTAAGATACAGCATGAGTAAATAGATATAGGCGAACAACAATCTCTAATCCGAAACGACAGCCAGATCAGAGGTAAAAGCCGCTTCTATCAAGAAAGATTAATCGCCGACGACTATGTACTTTCATTCTTCCCAGAGATAATCAGGGATTGGAACCAACTTCCCTCTAAAATCACCTAGGCCGATTCAATAGATGAATTCAGAGATGCTATGAAAGCATGCTCTGGAAGGTAGAAGTCAGCACTGCATGAATGTAGATTTTATATCGGTGACTGTTTTAATTATAAATAACTTTGAGAAGACTCGCTATGTTGCCCGGCACTGCTAAAAGTTTTCGCAGTACCACATGCATTCAATATTGAATTCGGTTCCTTATTTGGAGGAAGAAGAAGACGAAGAAGATCAACAGTTATTGTAAATCGTACTGACATTGGGGTTTCTATGATTCGTCTGACTATTTTTTGTCATTTTATTTAAAAAAAAATTGTCTTCAAATTTCATTTTTATGTCAATTTTAATACACAATTCATAAATCTTAAGAAAGAAGAAAGATCAATTATAATATTGGATTGTTGGTCAAAATACCGAACTTAAACACACTGATAAGATTATCTGACTGCTAGAATTCTGACGTCAGAATGCATTTGAATACAGTGATTCATGAAATACAAAATATAAACAGCTTGAAGGAAATTGACCAATCCACACAATGAAGCACAATGCACTGTTGGCTACTTCGAGTTTACCATCACTTCAGAACGGTAAGAATCTAGTTAAAAGATTCATTTCTTAATGCATCTCGGAATCTCATGTTTAATATTTTTAGTCAGCTGAATAATAAATATAATGTGGTCGAATTAAAAATTAATATTGTTCGTCGGCTTCAGCATTCGTCTTTTTATCGTCTTGTCAAAAGTAGTCTTATAGGTTTTTGTCGAGCCTTCGACTTTTGTCGAAAAAGCGAGACATAGCGATCCTACATTCAGTCGGCGTCGTCGTCGTCGGCGGCGTCCACAAATATTCACTCTGTGGTTAAAGTTTTTGAAATTTTAATAACTTTCTTAAACTATCCTGGATTTCTACCAAACTTGGAAAGAAGCTTGTTTATGATCATAAGATAGTATCCAGAAGTAAATTTTGCAAAAAAAAAAATCCATTTTTTCCGTATTTTACTTATAAATGGACTTAGTTTTTCTGCGAGTTAACATTACATTCACTCTGTGGTTAAAGTTTTAAAAATTTTAACAACTTTCTTTAACTATCCTGGATTTGTACCAAACTTGGACAGAAGCTTGTGTATGATTAAAAGCTAGTATCTAGAAGGAAATTTTGTTAAAATTTAATTCCATTTTTTCCGTATTTTACTTATAAATGGACTTAGTTTTTCTTCCAGTTAACATTACATATAGTCTGCAGTTTAAGTTTTTAAAACATTTATTAGATTCATAAACTATCCTGGATTTTTACCAAACTTGGACAGGAGCTACTTACAATCAAAGATAGTATAGAGAGGAATATTTTTATTAATTTTTTTCCTCATTTTTGTTGAGTCTGCGATTAACAGCAAAAGTAGGCGAGACACTGGGTTCCGCGGAACCCTTACGAATTTTGTCTATAATAGTGCTATGCATTGTACCTCTACATTCGTTTAACGTGAAATTAACAATGAAGTGGCCAATATCTAGTATAAAAATCTTTTGAGGTCTTTCAAACTATATATATCATTTTAGAGGAAAGGGCTAAGTACTACTATATGCTCTAGGAATTTTCGGCATGCTTACGCTCTTCTAAAATTAATGGGTTTTTTTTCATATATAACCGCGAACACGTAACAGTAATCATGTTGAATATAAAGCATGTTCCGGCAGCGGATTTTTTGACAAGCTGCAAAGCACCATGGATTTAAAGACCGACGCAGAAATGTCTGCACTGGTTGTGTTGACTTTTTGGCAGGATTTCAATAATTTGTAAATATAAAAACACTTGGACGATATATTCTTAGGTTGTTTTTTTTGTGTCATTGTGTTGATATCTCATCTTCTTTGATTCGTACTAAAATATTTGAAATGACAGCATAATTATACTCGTATACATGTATACACCAAAGGTTAAGGACAGAATGCATGGTGTACCAATTCATGACACAAAATCACTACGAGTATAGTGAAATAATCATCGGGTCAAGTGCTGCAGTGTTTTCATTGTTTTTCATCTAAGATATTACTGTTTGCTTTAGGAGTTTACTGTATTCTTATGCCTTTCCAAAAACAATGTTGCTTGAGATCGTATTTGCGACACAGAATTCCTGTAGAATAATAAGCATGTTCCGGCTGCGGCGTTAACTAAAAATACTATTTTTTTTTATTTTAAGAATAGATTTTAATTCGCCACGGGAAACATTTTTATGAAACTAGAATGGAAACGCTTCCTTCAAAACTTGAATAAAGATTAAACTTTGTTTTGTGTCCATGCATAACGTACTCATCTAGTAGGACTTCGCCATCGTTAGAAAAAAATACCGATATCCAAGGAAGAAGTCGATAAAACCTGACAAAGCTAAACGCTCGACTATATCAACCACTGGAAAACAACTGTCATGTTCCTGAATTGGAAAAAAATTTCTCCGAAGAAAATGGTGGATTAAAACCGATTTTATAGCAGGCTAAACCTTCCACTTGTATAGTTCTGTCATGTTGACAAAATGGTCATAACTAAGTTTTTAGATAAGGAACAGATTTACTAAATGTCGTAAAATGTGAAACATATACAGTTGAATAGATTTTAAACCAGAGAAAAAGAATAAATAATAGAATGAATTTGTTTCTAATAAAGCTTATACATAAGCCCGTTTGCACACAATATTTGGTTTCGTACTATATGAATCAATAAGGTGTGTATCCACTGTCTTCATATTAAAATTGAACACAGATCATAAATCCTTATTAAAATAAAAAAAAAACCAATCTTTTAAAGCCAAAACAATGTTTTTCTTTCATGATGATAATAAAATTTAAAATATCTTTCAGTGATCTATTGTAAATATATCGGTATTTATTGTGGTCCAATTTCACGCCGGCAACAAAAGTTGCGAATGCATTACCGAGAATATAATTAAGATTCTGAAACAGCGAATAGACATTTAAGTTATCGTTCTTTGGGAACTTGCGACACTTGATCCGTTATTTTGCGCCACTTGAAAATTGACGTCTTATGCATTGTGGCGTCAGACATTTTTTTATGACATTATTTTTTACGGGAACGTTGGCGGACAAATAGCGATAAGGTGTATTCTACCACTAGTATAAAAAGGAGCTCATAAAATTTACACAGTTGACTTTACAAATAATCTTTATGTGATTCTCACAAATATTTGTTTATCTTCTTTACTATATCATTTATTTGATCACACAATAAAATATAAGAAATGAAATTAAATGATATCGCACAAGATCGGATGAAAATTAATATTCTGTACAAAATTGAAAACAAATTTTCGCGCAGCGAAGACGCGGAAAAAAATAAGCATTCGTGCAACAAATGAAAATAAATGATCAATCCGGAAAAATCCACCTGCAACCCCTCCCCCTCCCCTAAATTCCATATGGTCGTCCCCTAGTACAAACATGCGACAATGTTTATTATTAAAACTCATCTGCACCAATGTAAAGACGGTACACGTTTGTTTTAAGCATTGCAAGATCTGATGACTGAACATTTTCCCAGAATCTCGATTCCTTGTTTTTTCAATGGAAAGAACTACCTTGTAAAATCGTCCGTGTACTGATGAAATCCGATTAATTTCTGTCATTTGAAATAACACCGCAAGAAATGTTTTAAATAGAACATCTGTTTTTACAACTTGAATAAAAGATTTCTTACCCAAAAGAATATACAAGACAAGGTTTCTTAATTTTGTATCCTGAATCCAAGCAAATCCACCAATTTCCAACTGACTTGAATCGTTTACAACGATAATCTATGGATCTGTGTTGAAGGTCCCTAAAGTATTCATAAAATGTTTATACTCATTTCAGTATTTTATCACTTTTCTAAATTTTTTAATATTAGATTTTTGATTGGTTATCTTTTAGTTGCAAATATTTCATAGATTGACACGACATGACCAATTTATCAAATATTATATATAAACTAGGTATGTTTTGCAAAGTGAATGGACCAACGGACCAGAATGAAGGGCGGGGAAATTAGACCATCATCGCAGTTTCTAAAAACTAGAGGATCTAAAGAGCCCGTGTCGCTCACCTATATAGTCAACAATGACCACTTTTAGATCTAATAACACAATAACTAAAAAAGAGTATAAATAGAGCAGCAAAAAAACGTCCAAGGCCAAGTCTGAGGAAGTTGTAACTTTAGTTTTTTAATTGACGCCGTGTCAGCGCAAACAAGCTATATACATATCACGACGATCTTAAATGTAGTTGTAGAACAATTACGTCACTTTATTCATTTGGAACTTTACAGACAGAGTGTTTTATTTGAATCATGCCAAAACCAAAGCACTGTCGACTTGGAACATGACAGAATCAGACCGTGCGAGACTCATATGGGTAGACAAGGTAGTAACACCCGTAGTAGTGGAATATGTTACGCTCAAGTAATGCCCATTGTGCAAGGTAAAAAGTAGGATATATGTTTCTGTGTTCACAAAACATGTTTCTGGATTAATCCTTCACATTTTTTTCAGACAATATGTGGATTATATTTAAAAATCATTTATTTATTAGAAACATTAACTACCGAGATTTGAAATACAAATGAGGGGCTAGTCCAAAAAGAAGATTAATAGTGTGTCTAAAAATGTAATTACAATGATATGATGAAATTGTTTAAGCATAAAATGACATTACCATTTGAAGAAAGCAGCTGATCTCCACCAGTCAGTTTCAGTAACATTTATTGACATGTTATATGCTGGAAGTTTTACATTCCAATCATTTATATTAACTGGTTCAACTGGTACCTTCTCAGGAGGTTTGTAAACTGGTTTATTTAATGTGACCGTTTTATTTTCTGTTAAAAATAAATGATTACAATAAATAGAAATATAGGAAGTTACCCAGGGACATTCGTAAGTCATAAACCCAATAAAAACAACCAACACCACGAACAAAGAGTAAAACGACGTAAACACACCACTTAACAGAAAACTGGGGATGCTCCACTAGTGACGCCCGCTTTGTGACCCCTGTCCATGATGTGTGAACGGTTTTAGGTTCTATACAGCTCTCAAATAGTTATAGTGAGTTCCAAATAATCGCAATACTTTCAACGACATTACACCGCATTAATGTGTGCATGAATATAATCTAGAATATAAAACCATGATAAAACCATGCATTAATGCAACACATACTTGCATATCAAACAGTGGTATAATAGTCAAATGTTTTTATATGGAAAGCGCTATATCGTTCAAAATCAAAACAAGATAAGAACAAAATCAAGGGAGACAACCTAAAATATCTGATACCTTTCAACCTATTATTAAAAGACAGCAACAACTACTTGCATGATTCCTAACTCGCAAAGACTTTTTGGCGTTTTGGCATGGTAAGGGAAAGCACAAATTAAACAGATAGACGCACACTACAAAGAAAACTTAAAACTATAAGACAATTACTTCGTATGTAGAACTCGAAATCTATGGTTTCACAACCAGCTCTTTCAATTATTTCTAATTACAAAGCAAACAAATTTAGGAATCTCAAATATTTTTATTTCTGGCTGTTTACCCTTAAACGCGTAAAAGATAATAATCATAATGGTGTTGTTATATCTTTGTGTCTAGAACTATGCTGGTATTTATATAATTCGCTCGCTTATAGATTGATATCTGTATAACATAATGGTGCACACTTTGGGTATATCAGATTATGGTATCTTCTTGTAATATTCTTTACATTGCTGTATGAAATATGAAGTACAACCGCCAATACTGAACATGAGTTACATGTAGCATAAGTGTCCTGTGTGGTGCACGACTCTCATTACCTGCAGCTCCGTTGTAGTAGCTCTCAGTTACTGAAATTATTTCGTTGATATTATATTATTTTGTACCGTTTTACTTGCATCTAGTGTTTGTATTGTCTATTTGTAAAAGGGAGGTTTGAGTCGTCGCCCAAAATGTTGTACATATCTAATTTTTTCAACAATAAAAAATTCTCACAAACAGGCTTTGAAAATTTGGTTGAAATCTGTGCTTCCAAAATGTCGTATGTGAACTTATCATTTTTGTGATGGCTTGGAATTAAAAAAATGGACATTTCTGGAAAACACAAACTAACCTAATTATCACAGAAATAAAGAAATGTAAAAGTTTTTGATTCCCAAAGCCATTATACAACAATTTTACATACAACATTTTGGAAGCTAACTTTATTTTGCAACATGTCTTATTTCAAATGTTTTGATTGGTCTAAATGTATGATACTTTGGAATATCAGACATGTCCTCCCGCCAAGCCGGTTTGTGTGAACAAGTAGTTTTAGCCAAAAAAAGTAATATACAACATTTTGGGAGCCCAGCGACGGAGTGCGATTTCTTTTTTTTTTTAGTAAAATCGCGCTATATGTTCGTGTGCCTCTCCGAAGTCGGGAACTACGTCTATAAAAGTATTACAAGAATACCGAACGATTTGTATTTTGAATGAAAAACGTAGTTGTGTTTAGATGAAAAATTGTAGCATTTATGAGTCTTTAAATCAATAATAAACACGATTTATTTGATCCATTTCTATGAGATTAAAATATAATATTTAAGTAAGTTTTATACGTAATTTATAGGCGTACACACAGTATTAGGGTAACAGATTTCATATTATGTTTTGCTGGGTTTTTTTTATTGACTTGAAATCTGCAAAATGAACAATTTTAGAATCTAATATTAACTTTAATGACAAATCACACTTCCTTTATCATTCCATGTAACACGTTTCTTTACAAACTAATTTCAATCGACGTTCATGAAATGCATGTCTATCCTGTTACCGATACTAGCAAAACCGGTAAATTGTTTTCCTCTTTTGGATATTAAACTATTCACTGTGATGTAGGAAAAGTATTGTGTACTATTTTTAGGATCTTTGTGCTTTTAAATCATTGCTGAATAGTTTAATATCCAAAAGAGGAAAACAATTTACCATGTCTATGCTGATGCCAACAAATTTATAAATGACAACAATATTATGCTTGTGCAAAGTGTTATTATGTATTGGAAACCAAGCCCGCAGAAGAAAAATATTATCACTGCAACAAATGAAGTATAGTTATTTCACAACAGCATTCATAAATATAGAAATTTGTCTATATTAGTTTAAACATATTTTATTGTTCAAAAATGACAAATGGATTAGACACAAGTTTTTCAACTTAGTAACGTCTTCTCCAATATTGTCTATATTGTTACTGTCTATCCTGTTACTATAGTTTAAGTAAATTTTGCAATTTCGATATTTGTTTAAAATGACATGCATAGGAATGCTCTTTCTATGGTTCACTACAAAAATTTTATCTGACAGCACTATCCAATTTTAAAAATGGCCATCAAAGCTTTTGAGCGGTCGCGTCTCGTCAAAAACTACGAAATGTAGGTATGAAATTAGATGGTAGAAATGTTTCTGGAATGATCCTCCGCCAAAACTGCAACTGATTATTTCGATAAATTTATACGCATGATTACCATAACCTGAAATTGGATGACAGAGTTTCGGCAGAAACTGGTTGGCCCATTCAAACCAATCGACATTCCTCTAGGCTGCCATTTTCCCAAATTTTGTCCGATGGCCCATGAAGGTTGTCAGAATGGCCACAAAGCCTCTTAGACTAATTGGTTGGCACAAATTTGCAAGTAAATTTTACCAGCACTGATTATCTGTTCCCGCTCCCCCCTTCTCTGCTGGTTAACTAGACTTCCCCATAGGCGGATCCAGGGGAGCCTGGGGGGCGCGGGCCCCCCTTTCGTGGGAAAAATTTGGTTGATTATATAGGGAATCACTGAAGCATGAATGGAGCGAACCTCCCCCCTCCCCCTTATGTCAGTCAGCGCCCCCCCCCCCCCTTTTGAAAAGTTCTGGATCCGCCACTGTAATCCCTTTATTTTCGTATCTATGGAACAGGTACAATTTCTATCAGAAAACGTGATTTTGTTTTATTTTTACACTAGATCATTTTAGTTGCAGAAAATCATTCAAAAATACTTATCTGGTGTCATATATTACACTGTGTCTAAACTACCCCGGCAAAAAATGTTTGGACTCGATAGTATCTAATGTCCGGTACGGTGACGGACAATCAACAGACAGAGAAAAGGTAGAAATTCTGTTTATTTATTTGTTTTTTAATGACATTGAAGAATAAACATACACATATTACTATTTTCGATTGTGTGATGTAATATTTTCTACAACCGTTCTAGGTTAATGGAGAAATAAGTAAAAAGGCACATGAAAATGGTGAATTGAGTGAATCTTGCTACGAATTTGTTTAATTTCTTTCTAAATTGTGCACATTTTACGGAAAGAAAAGTACGGAAAGAAAGATATTAACACAGAGATTACATGGCTAGTCACTATGAGCACCTCAATATTTGCATTTCTGTGCATGGAACGAAAGAAATGGGTCATATCAAAATGGAAGGACCCTGTTTCGTCAATGTTGTTTATTACACAAGGACCCTGTTTTGTCTCAGTATAGGACCCGGTTTTGTTTTGTTTTGAAACCACAAATTTATGAAAAGCTACGTTAGCACGGATCAGGACATTGCCAATCGGAAGAAATTAAATATTTGAGTCAAAAAGATGTTATAAAGATTTTATTGCAATACAAACATGTGTTAAAATATATTTCAAACGGTAACTTTTCGAAATAGGGAGTAGACATTTTTGAATGCTATACGTATACCTTATTGATCTTATCTTCGAACTAAGTTTAAATGGAAATAAATACTTTATATCATGTACTTACATCAATTCCTTATGATAGAAAACAGAAGATGTGGTGTGATTGCCAATGAGACAACTCGTCACAAGAGATCAAATGACACAGAAATTAACAACTATAAGTCGCCGTACGGCCTTCAACATTGAACAAAGATCATACAACATAGTCAGCTATAAAAGGCCCCGAAATGACAAGTGTAAAACAATTCAAACGAGGAAACTAACGGCCTAATTTATGTACAAAAAAATGAACGAAAAACAAATATGTAACACAACAACAAACGACAACCACTGAAATACAGGCTCCTGGCTTGGGACAGGTAAATATAATTTTATACAGAATGTGGCGGGGTTAAACATCTTAGCGGGATCCTAACCTAGGAAATTGGTGTAACAGTAAAACATAAGAACGAACTATAAAAATCAGTTGAAAAAGCTTAAGTCATCAGATGGATACAAATAGAAATACATCTCACAAATGTTTGTTTGTTTTCTATACTACTGTAATGATGTAAAAATAAGATGTGGAATGATTGTGTTACCATATCAATTTATCAAAAGAGTAAGGATAGTATGCATTACTGCACTATACGCTATGTTTACAATATATTTACTCATTTGTTCATCCATTGACGGACAGTGAGAGAAAAAGCTCCGTTTTGAGGGCCGTACTTTGACCTATAATGGTTTACTTTTACAAATTGTGACATGGATGGAGAGTTGTCTCGATGGCACTCATACCACATCTTCTTATATCTATTAGAACGTTTTGGATATCTCAATCAAAATGGTTGCCTTTCGAACGTGTATTTTATGTCCGCTTCGAAATACACATGTTCTAAACTTCCCCATTAGAAACAAAATAATTCTATCATGCCATGCTCTACGCTCATTTTAACATAGGTAGGCATTATATTTGTCAATATTTTATACCTGGCTAACGCTTGGTTTAAAAAATTTAACAAATATAATGCCTTCCTATATTAAAATGAGCATTGAGCATGGCATGAAGGAATTATTTCTTTTTATAAATAAAAGTTGGTTTGCAACATTATAACGTCCAATATCTTCGTCTTCGTCTTCGTAGAACAACCTAATTGGCAATTTAGCCCGTGAAAAATGACAATGAAACAGCTTTCCATCAGAGACCAAATGACGTAAAAGTTAACAAATATAGAACACCGTATGGCATCCAACAATGAGAAACGTCCATACGGCATAGCAAGCTAAAAAAAAAGGCCCCGAAATGAAAACTGTAAAAAAAAAACTAATGTGGAAACTAACGACCTAGATTTATGTACAAAATAAAAAACGAAAAACAAATACATGTATGATATATAGCAACAAAAGACAACAACCGATTTACATGCTCCTCAATTCGGTACTGGTACATACAGAATGGCGAGGTTGAACGTGTAAGCCCCCCCCCCCCCCACGCCCCCCTCCAAAAAAAAAAGTGGTATAACAGCACAAAATATAAACAAACTATAAAATTCAGTGAGTTGAAAAAGGCTTAACTCATTTGATTACAGAGCCCCTATAGTAAATATGCGATTGGCGGCTGTCTCTGTTTTTTCGTCTTTTATTAAATTTTATGATGGTATACTATAATGTTACATTATATCAGTGGCGGATCCAGGGGAGTGGAGGGAGTACGCCGACCCCCCTTTTTGGTGGCTAGAAATAATTATTTTATCATGTTTTTTACGATTTATATATGATTTTTTATTAAGCATAAAATCGTTAAAAAAAGTTCCCCTTGCTACGCTCGGCGGTATAAAATCCGTTTATGAATACGCCCCTTTCAAAAATCATGGCCTCGGTCCGCCCTTGCATATTGACAATTTTAAACTTGACCAAATTGCTTAACTTGTAGAACATTTGTCAATGTACGATAATCATTATACAATGAAGAGATAAACCTATATATAATAGTTGTACTATATAGGGCAGTTGTTAACAACTTGATACTAGTGCATTAAAGAATTTGTTAATGTTAAAAAAAAAAAAGAGAGAGAGATAAACATCGTTTATTTATAAAAATTACTAATCAAATAATCATTATTGCAATTTCCGGATGGCCTAAGACTTTTATACTAATTTATACTTAGTATTATTGTAACAAGGAGGGGTAAACAGATTTTTAACGCACTATTATTGTGATCCTTTGCGCCGCCTGAAAATTCCTTTTCTTGGCGATTCTGCATGCACATACATTTGTCTTATTCTCTTGCTTTATAATGAACGTTTAGTTTCAGAATATTTATTTTCAAACGATTATACTGTCTTCCCTTTAAGTAGAGCGGAACACTAAGATAACCATCTTGTCCCAGAAAATCACATATCAAATGTGCGTCCTTAAATTTTCAAGGCCGTACACTAATTAAGTTTGAACACTTAAATTTACATAGATGATATAAAAAAAAATCTAATTCCGTTTCAAAACCTTCATTTCTTTTTAATTTTTCCTTTTTTTGTATACAAAACAAAATTGAAATTTGCTTTGTTCTAATATAGCAGAAATATAATTGTTTACGGATTCAAAAAGGTTATAAGTTATCCTCTGAAAGAAAATGTTTTTCAACGATCCCTCAAACTGCTGTTGAACGCCATATTTTAATTTTCGTCATGCGATTATGCATTATTTTCTATGACAAAACCGGGTCTGCTTTGTGAAATTTAAGAACAAAACCGGGTCGTACACATTGACAAAACCGGGTGCTTCAATTTTGACATGACCCACTTCTTTCATTCCATGCACAGACATGCAAATATTGAGGCGATCATAGTGAAAAGTCTTGAAATCTCCGTGTTAATACCTTTCTTTCCGTACAATGTGCTCAATTTAAGGAGAAATTAAACACATTCGAGGCAGGGTTCACTCAATTCACCATTTTGATGTGCATTTTTACTTATTTCTTCATAAATCTAGAACGGTGGTAGAAAATATTACATCTCGCAATCGAAAATAGATATATGTGTATGTATATTCTTCAATATAATTAAAACAACATATAAATAAACAGAATTTCTACATTTCTCTGTCTGTTGATTGTCCGTCACCGTACCGGACATTAGATACTATTGAGTCCAAACATTTTTCGCCGGGGTAGTTTAGATACAGTGTATTATGTCTATAAGCTTGACAATACAACAGATTAAATTGTGCTATGAAGAAAACGCTGAATTCAAATTTTGCTGCTTATTACCTGTGGACCAATAGATTGGTTTTATTTGCACAAAAATACCTTATGAATCAAGTGCGCCGTAAAATTCACATTTGAGACGACCCCTTTCATCTTACCTGTCAAAGTTAGCGTACTGAGACTTTTCGTAAATCTCTTTTACGAATTGTTTATTTCTATGTTTGTACTCCGATTGTGTTCATTTTTAGTTTTCGGTGGAATTATTATTTCATTCCTCTGTTATTCTAAACTGAAATGTTTTCATATAAATATACCCGTGGCTTGTTTTTAAATATCATTAATTCATTACAAACAGGCAAATGTCTTTTTAGCCCAATAAAAGACCTATTTTATATGCTTCTATTCTTACAAACCTGCTTTGATAACATTTGTAGTCTGTGGAACTATTGATAAATACAGGAAGATGACCAAAAGTAGCACTGGAGCTAGATATTTTCCCCAATATCGAATCGGTGTTAGCATAACTAAAATATAAAATAAATCGCATTTCAATTCCATAAAAATAAACAGATTAGGTAAAGTATTATAGCTAGAAAACATTTTTATCAAGCGCAGAGAGCATTGCATTCTCTAACGAGACCAATACCGGGTCTGGACCTGCGTGGCTGAATTGTTTGAAGTAACATGATAACTGAAGCATACAGATCATTCCCTTCCGTTCCCAATGAAACCGAGAAAAACGAAAGTTTGCTCCTCAAAATTTTTCGGACAGACGAACGGATTAAGGTAAAAAACAATGTATACCTATTTAGACTGACCTCCTACTCTCCTTTCGAATGTTTGCATAACTGTAAGACCAAACAAACAAGTGGAACGATATCAATCATAACCAACGAACAAGAAGAACACTATCTCTCATAACCAACAAACAAGAAGAACACTATCACTCATAACCAACAAACAAGAAGAACACTATCACTCATAACCAACAAACAAGAAGAACACCATCACTCATAACCAACAAACAATAAGAACACTATCACTCATAACCAAACAAACAAATAGAACACTATCACTCATAACTAAACAAACAAAAATAACACCATCACTCATAACCAAACAAACATGTAGAACACTATCACTCATAACCAAACAAACAAGAAGAACACTATCTCTCATAACCAACAAACAAGAAGAACACTATCACTCATAACCAACAAACAAGTGGAACGATATAAATCATAACCAACAAACAAGAAGAACACCATCACTCATAACCAAACAAACAAAAATAACACCATCACTCATAACCAAACAAACATGTAGAACACTATCACTCATAACTAAACAAACAAAAATAACACCATCACAGCAAACAAGAAGAACACTATCACTCATAACCAAACAAACAAGTGGAACGATATAAATCATAACCTGCAAACAAGAAGAACACTATCACTCATAACCAACAAACAAGTGGAACGATATAAATCATAACAAACAAACAAGAAGAACACTATCACTCATAACCAAACAAACAAGTGGAACACTATCACTCATAACCAAGCAAACAAATAGAACACTATCACTCATAACCAAACAAACAAATAGAACACTATCACTCATAACCAAACAAACAAAAATAACACCATCACTCATAACCAACAAACAAGGAGAACACTATCACTCATAACCAAACAAACAAATAGAACACCATCACTCATAACCAAACAAACAAAAATAACACCATCACTCATAACCAAACAATCATGTAGAACACTATCACTCATAACCAAACAAACAAGTGGAACGATATAAATCATAACCAGCAAACAAGAAGAACACTATCTCTCAAAACCAACAAACAAGAAGAACACTATCACTCATAACCAAACATAAAAATAGAACACTATCACACATAACAAAACAAACAAAAATAACACCATCACTCATAACCAAACAAACAAAAATAACACCATCACTCATAACCAACAAACAAGAAGAACACTATCACTCATAACCAAACAAACAAATAGAACACTATCACTCAAAACCAACAAACAAGAAGAACACTATCACTCATAACCAAACAAACAAATAGAACACTATCACTCATAACTAAACAAACAAAAATAACACCATCACTCATAACCAAACAAACAAAAATAAAACCATCACTCATAACCAAACAAACATGTAGAACACTATCACTCATAACCAAACAAACATGTGGAACGATATTAATCATAACCAACAAACATGTAGAACACTATCTCTCATAACCAACAAATAATAAGAACACTATCACTCATAACCAACAAACAAGAAGAACACTATCACTCATAACCAAACAAACAAATAGAACACGATCACTCATAACCAAACAAACAAAAATAACACCATCACTCATAACTAAACAAACAAAAATAACATCATCACTCATAACCAAACAAACATGTAGAACACTATCACTCATAACCAAACAAACAAGTGGAACGATATAAATCATAACCGGCAAACAAGAAGAACACTATCTCTCATAACCAACAAACAAGAAGAACACTATCACTCATAACCAAACATAAAAATAGAACACTATCACACATAACAAAACAAACAAAAATAACACCATCACTCATAACTAAACAAACAAAAATAACACCATCACTCATAACCAACAAACAAGAAGAACACTATCACTCATAACCAAACAAACATGTAGAACACTATCACTCATAACCAACAAACAAGAAGAACACTATCACTCATAACCAAACAAACAAATAGAACACTATCAATCATAACCAAACAAACAAAAATAACACCATCACTCATAACCAAACAATCATGTAGAACACTATCACTCATAACCAAACAAACAAAAATAACACCATCACTCATTACCAAACAAACAAAAATAAAACCATCACTCATAACCAAACAAACATGTAGAACACTATCACTCATAACCAAACAAACATGTGGAACGATATTAATCATAACCAACAAACAAGAAGAACACTATCTCTCATAACCAACAAATAATAAGAACACTATCACTCATAACCAACAAACAAGAAGAACACTATCACTCATAACCAAACAAACAAATAGAACACGTTCACTCATAACCAAACAAACAAAAATAACACCATCACTTATAACCAAACAAACAAAAATAACATCATCACTCATAACCAAACAAACATGTAGAACACTATCACTCATAACTAAACAAACAAAAATAACACCATCACTCATAACCAAACAAACAAAAATAAAACCATCACTCATAACCAAACAAACATGTAGAACACTATCACTCATAACCAAACAAACAAATAGAACACTATCACTCATAACTAAACAAACAAAAAGAACACCATCACTCATAACCAAACAAACAAAAATAAAACCATCACTCATAACCAAACAAACATGTAGAACACTATCACTCATAACCAAACAAACATGTGGAACGATATTAATCATAACCAACAAACATGTAGAACACTATCTCTCATAACCAACAAATAATAAGAACACTATCACTCATAACCAACAAACAAGAAGAACACTATCACTCATAACCAAACAAACAAATAGAACACGATCACTCATAACCAAACAAACAAAAATAACACCATCACTCATAACTAAACAAACAAAAATAACATCCTCACTCATAACCAAACAAACATGTAGAACACTATCACTCATAACCAAACAAACAAGTGGAACAATATAAATCATAACCGGCAAACAAGAAGAACACTATCTCTCATAACCAACAAACAAGAAGAACACTATCACTCATAACCAAACATAAAAATAGAACACTATCACACATAACAAAACAAACAAAAATAACACCATCACTCATAACTAAACAAACAAAAATAACACCATCACTCATAACCAACAAACAAGAAGAACACTATCACTCATAACCAAACAAACATGTAGAACACTATCACTCATAACCAACAAACAAGAAGAACACTATCACTCATAACCAAACAAACAAATAGAACACTATCAATCATAACCAAACAAACAAAAATAACACCATCACTCATAACCAAACAATCATGTAGAACACTATCACTCATAACCAAACAAACAAAAATAACACCATCACTCATTACCAAACAAACAAAAATAAAACCATCACTCATAACCAAACAAACATGTAGAACACTATCACTCATAACCAAACAAACATGTGGAACGATATTAATCATAACCAACAAACAAGAAGAACACTATCTCTCATAACCAACAAATAATAAGAACACTATCACTCATAACCAACAAACAAGAAGAACACTATCACTCATAACTAAACAAACAAATAGAACACGTTCACTCATAACCAAACAAACAAAAAAAACACCATCACTTATAACCAAACAAACAAAAATAACATCATCACTCATAACCAAACAAACATGTAGAACACTATCACTCATAACCAAACAAACAAGTGGAACGATATAAATCATAACCAACAAACAAGAAGAACACCATCACTCAAAACCAAACAAACAAGAAGAACACTATCACACATAACTAAACAAACAAAAATAACACCATCACTCATAACCAAACAAACAAAAATAACACCATCACTCATAACCAAACAAACATGTAGAACACTATCACTCATAACCAAACAAACAAGTGGAACGATATAAATCATAACCAGCAAACAAGAAGAACACTATCTCTCATAACCAACAAACAAGAAGAACACTACCACTCATAACCAACAAACAAGTGGAACGATATAAATCATAACCAACAAACAAGAAGAACACTACTACTCATAACTAAACAAACAAATAGAACACTATCACTCATAACCAACAAACAAGAAGAACACTATCACTCATAACCAAACAAACATGTAGAACACTATCACACATAACCAAACAAACAAATAGAACACTATCACTCATAACCAAACAAACATGAAGAACACTATCACTCATAACCAAACAAACAAAAAGAACACCATCACCCATAACCAACAAACAAGAAGAACACTATCACTCATAACCAAACAAACAAAAAGAACACTATCACTCAAAACCAAACAAACAAGAAGAACACTATCACTCCTAACCAAACAAACAAAAATAACACTATCACTCAAAACCAAACAAACAAGTGGAACGATATCAATCATAACCAACAAACAAGAAGAACACTATCTCTCATAACCAACAAACAAGAAGAACACTATCACTCATAACCAACAAACAAGAAGAACACTATCACTCATAACCAACAAACAAGAAGAACACTATCACTCATAACCAACAAACAAGAAGAACACTATCTCTCATAACCAACAAACAAGAAGAACACTATCACTCATAACCAACAAACAAGAAGAACACTATCTCTCATAACCAACAAACAAGAAGAACACTATCACTCATAACCAACAAACACGCAGAACAATATCACCCATAACCAACAAACAAGTAGTACAATATCACCCATAACCAACAAACACGTAGAACACTATCACTCATAACCAACAAACTAGTAGTACAATATCACCCATAACCAAATAAACACGCAGATCAATATCACCCATAACCAACAAACAAGTAGTACAATATCACCCATAACCAACAAACAAGTAGTACAATATCACCCATAACCAACAAACAAGTAGTACAATATCACTCATAACCAACAAACAAGTAGTACAATATCACCCATAACCAGTAAAGACGCAGAACAATATCACCCATAACCAACAAACAAGTAGAACAATATCACCCATAACCAACAAACAAGTAGTACAGTATCACTCATAACCAACAAACATGCAGAACAATATCACCCATAACCAACATACACGCAAAACAATCTCACCATAACCAACAAACACGAAGAACAATATCACCCATAACCAACAAACAAGTAGTACAATATCACTCATAACCAACAAACAAGTAGAACAATATCACTAATAACCAACAAACGTGTAGTACAATATCACTCATAACCAACAAACACGCAGAACAATATCACAAATAACCAACAAACAACGAACAATATCACTCATAACCAACAAACAAGTAGAACAATATCACTCATAACCAACAAACAAGAAGAACAATATCACCCATAACCAACAAACAAGTAGAATAATATCACAAAATAACCAACAAACAAGTAGAATAATATCGCTCATAACCAACAAACAAGAAGGAAAATATCATTCATAACCAACAAACAAGTAGTACAATATCATTTATAACAAAAAAAAAAAAACAACTCAGCTTTAGGCCTCCTCTGAACAATTAAATGTCCCCACTATGTATTGGTTACCTAAACTACACAAAAAAAACGTAAAATATCGTTTCATCTTGGTCTCTAGTAAATGTTCTACTACTAATCTTTTAGTGCTTTTAACGATTGGTTCTTGGTTGCTTAACGTCCAGTGGCAAATATTTCATGCATGTTAAGGACGACAGTTCTTTTAACGAGTTCTGTAACTACTATCAAAGAACTTATCATTAACTTTTGTAATAAAACATATGAAAATAGTCGAATTAACTATTTTTGGAGTGCAAAAAAGCAAAAAAAATCTTTTAATGTTTTAGAAAATTAGTTGCTTTTGATTGTCCCTTTGATTCGGTTGACAGTTTTGTCTTTTCCACTTTTTATACTACACTTCCACACAATCGTATGAAACAAAAGTTTTCCTATTTAAATAAGCGGTCATTTGATAAATTTGATTGCAAATGTATTTGCTGGAATTCATATAAAGACTTTTCTCTAATTAGAAAGGTAAATATGCTAGATATACTTACTGGAGGTGTGATGAGATGATTAAAGCTGTAAAATTTCTCGTTGACAACATTTATGTACATTTCAGCAATAAAGTTAATCGACAGGTTGTAGTTATTCATATGGGCACCAATAGTGCCCCTTTAATAGCAGACTTGTTCCTGTACTGTGATGAATCAAATTTTATGACCAAACTCAGTAAAGACCCGTATTAATATTCCATTTAATATTAAATTCAACAACACTTACCGTTATCGTGATGATATTTGTTTGTTAAATTATCAAGAATTCTCTAAATATACTGCCGGAATTCACCAAAAGGAACTTACTGTAAATAAATCAAATATTGATAGCAATAACTGTCCTTTCTTAGAGTTAGATAGTTCCGTTTTACACGAAAATTTTTACACAAAAATTTAAGACAAAAGGGACGATTTTTCTTACCCTCCTGCTAATTTTCTTTTTTGGACGGTGATGTTCCTTTGGCACCGTCTTGCGGTGTTTATATATCCCAACTCGTTCGTTATGCCCGTGTATTTAGTGACGTTTTGGATTTCAATGAGCGTAATCTATGTATTACTGGTAAATTATTAAGTCAGGGATATCGTTACAACAAATTAAATAAAACCTTTACTAAATTCTTCTATAGAAACAAATATTTGGTTTGCAAGTTTGGCTGTACCTGTAGAAAACTTATTTCAAACGGAATAGCACATGCTAAGTTTTACGGTGGGGTTGTTTACCGAGCCTGGAAATTTAGATACGATCCGGGTAAACTTGTAAATCCTTTAAATAAACTTATTCTAAAAGGTTACCAATTTAACACTGTAATTATATCTTTAAATATTGTTTTTATTGGTATAAATATTGATTTTGTTACCAGTAAATTAATAAAACCATACTTAATATTTTTGTTATACACACTATGCAACATCACGGTAATACACAATCTGTCGATACCTATATTTTGGCATTGCACAATGTCATGTTTTCTCTGACTGTTTATCTAAATCCATTGGATGTTGGATATGTACTGATTGATATTTTAGTCTTAGGTACATGATTTTTTTTATTAGTTGTTATTGGGTTTTAACTAGCTGTCAGTAACTGCGAGTACTCTCAAATCTGTATTTTTGTGTCTTTTTTTTTGTTGTTGTTACGGATGTATAAATATCATTTTTCATGTATTTTTGTATAAAAGTATTTTAACACGTACATTTCATAAAAGGCATTGTTAATTTGTATTCAGAAATCTTCATGTTAGTGTACCGAAATGGATTGCAAACAGTAAATATTTCGTGATGTAAACAATCTTTATAGACATATAGAATTGAGAGGTACGTACACATAGTTTGAAAAAAAAGGGTAAATGTGTGGTTTTTTATTAACAGAAAATACATTCTAAATGTTTCAGTGTTGGTGGTATTATGTCTTATTGTTCTAGAAATGGAAATCAAGAACAATGTTCAAATGCTCCTACTTTGAAGAGGGGTTTGATCAAGCATATACTATGCTTGGTCACACAGGAATAAAGCATCATCATAGCTTCATTTCCATCAGAAATTAAAGGAATAAAAATTGACAATGTATATTTGTGAGGAATACGATTATTATATACACATTTCGTTTTTTTGTATTGTATTGTATCAAAGCTTACATATTATGTATTGCGTGAACCCTCAATATATTGGTTGATTTTGTAGTCTTTCGGAATACAGGAAGTCGCTATTGTCTTTTCGGAATACATCTGTTCTTTTCTATGGCCAACTGCGTAATAGGTAATTAATTGATCTAATGAATATGCAGTTGCTTTAGAGTTAAGTGTTTATCGAGACTGATTGATGTCCTAAATCAGTAGTTAATTAATTAGAGATGCATGTATGAAGTTTGTGAAACACAAGCTGTAATCACATTGGAGATGAGATTTTAAGCGAAAAAAGTTATCGGAGAGGGCGTTTTTATGATATTTAAATTTAGCCATTTTAGCAAAATTAAAATAGAGTGCAGTCCATTTAAGCAGCTATTAAAATTCTACGTCCAGGAAAGAGGCGTATATGAAAAAATAGTATTTATAATTACACTTCTGTAAATTACAATTACATAGTTGAAATTACTTTTTTATTTTACATAATGGAGTAACCATAATCGTTGGAAGAGGAATATATTAGGAAAAAATATATATTCTTAACCGTCATCAAAGTAGAAACAAAAACAGAATAAAGTTCGGTCATGAAAGCAAGGAAAGCCGTATGGTAGCCTATGATTGCTTACATCCACTTCATTTAAACTCTAGTGGATCGTTGTCTCATTGACAATCATACCACATCTCCTTAATTCTTATTAATCTTATAAAAACAATGATAGTTAACTCTGGAAATTCAGACGAATTTAAAGGCACCTTTTGGGTGTGGTACATAAGAGACATATAAATGTGACGGAATTATATGTCTCCGGTTAAATGCAAAAACATATGTCATATCGAAACAATTGATTAATGAATATGCGTTTGAGTCCTTAAACTTATTCTATAGATATAAAACGATTCGAGGACAGTGAGTGATATTCTTTTGCGTGAGTTGATGACTTTCTATTTATTTAAAACTTACCAGAACACACCCGCGGGTCCGGGACTGAATTAAAGTACCTATGCCTTATTTTTAGTATTCGTATTGTTATTTGATAAAGTCATGCTGATTGTAAGGTGCACAAATTTCTCTGCTTTCAAAATCTTTCAGTTTGAACCCGTCCTGGTTTTCTTACTACAATAAATTTACTATACACTGAATTTATTTTTTTAACCAAGGATTTGTATATGTATATTGATTCTGTTAAATTTATTCATAACTTAACTATGATAAAAAATCAACATACAGATATTGTATGGAGACTGACTATTCTTGAAGACTGTATGATTTCCTCTAACTGTCAACATGGTCAATGCTCTTGTGGTAGTTGGGTCAGTTTCATATACTAGAAGAAAGGACAAAGACAAGCTGCGAAAATAAATAATTGTTTTGACCTTCTCTTTGGGGTTATCTTAAACAGCTCTTACTAGTATCATAAAGATGTGTTGGGCTACTAAAATTAAGATCACAAGAAAAACAACAACATAATTACGATAATTTTCGGCAACTGCCAAATGTAAACGACTATCAAAGTTTATTTTCCAGCTTGAGAGAGGTCCTCAATATGACATACTCAGAAGGAATCGTGATATCTTTGCGAATTAAAACAAAATATTGATCAAAGATGCTAAAACAAACTAAACCTAACAACAAACAAGTCAGAAATGATTATCTTGCAATACACGCTGTTCGACCGGATATTTACTAACAGGCGCGTATAAATTTATAGTGGCGAGTACGCAACATCTCACGATACGCGAGAAGTGTCGATATACCGCGAGATTCCAATCCTTCTCACTATACAAATCCTTGTTTTAACAAATTAACAAAAAATAATAGTGGTATTGAGGTGGAAGAAAACAGACTTGTTAAATAGTGTACTATAGTGTAACATAGATACATGTATAAAACAACTACTGGAAGAATTCCAGGTTCTCCTGATAGAGAAGGGATTTACAGAATGTAACAGATAACTAAAAACAAAACAACCGGAAACTACATGTGACGTATACTATTGGTATCGGTATCGGACTCGACCCGGAACTTATTAATTATTGGTAATATTAATTATGTGGAAAACAAAAGTGCCTGGAATGGTGTAATTTTTAAACAACACTATTTCCTATATTAGTTATATATAAATTTTAATTCATTGATTCGTCGTTTTTACGTCATGCCGGCTAACAAATTGGACCTCGTTATTTTAGTAGTATAGATGGCCATTGCAGTTACAAACAAGAGGCTGTCAGAGTGAAAGCAAACCGGATTTCCTGCAAAGGTCGAACCCTGAACAGTTGAGCAAGTATGGACACTACATTTAAGCTTAAAACAGCTCTGAATTTGGATTGTGATTGAATATTTGACACAGCATAGGTTTGTGACACAAAATGAATGTGGTCAAAGAACTGAAATATTTGAAATTGGACATTTAAATACCTATTATGGTCCAATATCCAAAATCTAAGTACATATTAGAATCAGCATATCAAAGAACCCCAAGAATTCAATTTTTGATGAAATCAGACAAAAGTTTAATTTGGGACCCTTTGGACCTCAATGTGGACCAATTTGATAAAGGAGCCCACAATCCAAAATCTCTCAATACATGGTTAGATTCAGCATTTCAAAGAACCTCATAAATTCAATTTTTGTTGAATCAAACAAAGTTTAATTTTGGACCCTGATTTGGACCAACTTGAAAACTGGGACCAAAAATCTAATATTTAAATACAGGTTTAGATTCAGCATTTGAAAGAACCCTATATATATTTAATTTATGTTGAAATAAAAAACAGGTTAATTTTATCCATAATATTTTCTGTGCAAAGGGAAATAACTCAAACTGGATAAATAGTTCTCTAAAATAAGATATGATGCAATTTTTCAAATTATAATCAATAATATAATAACAACAACCAGTGATGACTAAGTTCTCTAAAATTAGAGGAATGTGGTATTATCTTATTAATAATGAAAAGAACTACAGGTTTAGATTAAGCATTTGAAAGAACCCTATATATATTCAATTTATGTTGAAATCAAACACAGTTTAATTTTGTACTCCGATTTGGACCAACTTGAAAACTGGGCCCAAAATCAGAAATCTAAATATATGTTTATTAATAGACAATATAAGCTTAGTTATTAAAGGAGTTCACTTCATCAAAAAAAATATATAGCATTTTTACAAAATAACAAACAAATTTGCCACAAAATTCTTCAAACAATTTACCAAAGAAAAAATCTATAAAACTTATCAGTAACAAGAAATAGTTGTAACAGGATGCTGTTACGAAGTCTCCCAAACAAAGCTCCAATAATTCGTCATTCCCATGGTTGCCTGACATTGGGCAAAGTCCAGTACAAATTGGTTTGTGATATGCATAAGTGACACATGGAATGACCCTGTATGTCATTCAAATCTTCTTGAAATTACGAACAGGAATATATATATGGTTTAGGGGTGGAGATCTCGACCGTTTACAAGTTCTCGAAAGGGGGGGGGGGGGGGGGTGTGATCCCCAGGGGGACTCACTCTTTATTTCATATGATTTGTTTTTTTGTCCCATACAAGAATATAAATGGTCTAGGGGTGGGGATCTCGACCGTTTACAAGTTCTTAAACAGGAGGGGTGTTGGTGACCCCAGGGGACTCGCCTTATATTTCAATTGAATTGTTTTATTGTCCCATACAAGAATATAT